TTATAGTGGTTTATGGTGGATGGTGGATAAAAGGTGAAAGAGGGTAAATGTTAAGGTCATAAGACAAGATATCAGGGATGAGAGATATAGATACGGTGTAGGAGGGAGGTAGATAGGAGATAGGTCGTGAGGAAAGAGGAAGAGAAAAGATTGGTGGGAGATGGAGGTAAAAGAGATCGATAGAGGTGGAGGTAGAGGAGGGAGGCAGAAGAAATTGATGAAGGTGGAGGTGGAGGTAGAGGAGAGAGGGAGAAGAGTTCGATGGAGGTGTAGGTAGAGGAGGGAGGCAAAAAGGTGGAAGACGGGTGGGGGAGGCGGAGACGGTGACCGGTGAGCTCCCTGGCATTTGCAAATATGTATATATATGTGTGTGTGTGTATGTGTGTATGTATATGTATATATATATATGAGGAAATTACATTTTTTTCCCTGTAATAATGTGATTGATATATATCTGATTATTTGTTAAATTAAAATGAGATAAAAATCTATAAAGACTAAAATACTCCCTGACTTAATGCGTTCTTCTAACAACCGTCAGAGGCATGGACAAAATCCGGTCATTTTTTCATACCACAATGGCAAAACTGTAATTTTTAAATTATAGGGACCAAAAGTGTTACAAACAATAAACCAAAGGGACCAAATTTGTAGTTTACTCTATTAATTATTACTTTTAATACATAATATGTTTTTCTTTCAAAACATATATTACATATGCACTTTAGTGGAATTTAAAATTAAATTTCATTTCAATCTCATGTTTAATTTGAACTTTGAAGGATTTTCTTAGATTTAAAATCCCATAATTTCATTAAAATCCTACAAACATAAAATTTGAATTTTCCACAAGAGTTGTTGATATTTTATAGGATTTATATGTAATAATATTTTAATTCATGTTTAAAACATTATTTTGTAATAATCAATTAATAAAAATAATAATTTAATTATTTTTATAAATTATTTATAAAAAATAAAATTCAATTTCATTACAAATCCTACAAATCAGACATATAAATATTTTTATTATTTTATATCTAGAGAGAGATAGAGAAAGAGACGTATAGAAAGAATGGACCCCGGTTGCCATCCGCTTGATACAACTCCTCCGTACGATTGTTGGGGTACGATTGAGGTGGCATGTGGTCTATGATTTTGCTTTTTAACAATATATCAATTCCAGCCCCTCTACTTTGCTACAATTACTCTTAACAATGTTTTTTTTTTTTAATAAAAATCGTAAATTTTGGAAACAAAAGTTACAATTAAATAGGATTAAATGCATGAAATAATAACCTATTTTCATAAAAAAAATTATTATAGTATTTTGCTTTTGTTTTTCTTTATTACAGCAATGTACTTTCAAATTATTTTTTATTAAGGTATTGTATTTTAAAAAATCTACTCATAATAGCAATGGGTAACTTATTACCTTTTAAACCGGTTAATCCTTTGATTTTTTTGCTTGTGTGGCTTTAATGAGGTGATGTGGATGTCACATCATTTTGATGACTTAACTAAAATTAAAATTAAAACATATTTCAAATTATTATTAGTGATTTTCATTGTTCATTGTTATGATCTAAAATAACATTTAATTTTTTTTTTACTTTTTCTTATTAAGTTGCATTCAAATTAAATATTGTTAGAGTAAAATATTTATTAAATAAATATGAAACATTATTGACGAGATATATTTTGTTTGTAAAAAAAATAACTTTTTCTATTTTATGTTGTTCAAATAAATACATATCTTTTAAAGTTATCTTTAAAATATTAACGAAATAAATTGTTATCTACAATTTTTTTAATATTGTTATATTAATAAATAATTCAAAAAAGTCTAATTAATTTAATACATTTATTTGGTAAAAAAGAAACAATTCTTATTTTTCCTTTTTTCAAAAAACATATATTTTTTAAAAATGTTAGCGAAATAAGTTGTGTTCTACTAGTTTTGTTGATATTGGTATATTAATGAATAATTTAGAATCTTTTTTAATTCATTTAATACATTTATTAAATAACATGTAAAATATCTAAATATTAAAATTAAAAATACAGTGTTTAATAAAAACTAGTAGATGCTATAATAAAATAATTTTGAAAGTATAATGATGTAGTAAGAAAGTCACATCAATATAGTATATGTGGACAGCCTACGTGGACAATGAGGTGGCATGGAAACCTAGTATAATGGGTAAATTTAAACCAAAAGGTTACCCAATGCTATAATGGATAAATTTTTCAAGGTACAATGTCCTAATAAAAAATAGTTTGAAAGTACATTGCTGTAATAAGAAAAACTGAAAGTACAATGCTATAATAAAGAAATTTATGAAAGTAGATTGCTATTTTATGCATTTTGCCCCAATTAAATATGTGCTCTAGCCAATCACGAGACCCCCTAATATTAGGAGTGAGCGGCGGAACCGGATATCCACTTATGTAACCAGAACTGTCTCGGAACTGCCGATTCCAGAATCGGAACCGATATGAATGGTTTCGGTTTCAGTTCTCAATTTTTTTGAACTGTTACCTGCCGGGACGGGGTATCCGGAACCGGCGGGTACCCGGTTTTTATATAATTTATGAAGTTTTTTATATAATTTGTGCAGTTTTTTATGTAATTTGTGTAGTTTTATGTTAAAAATATGTGCAGTTTTTTTTATATATAATTTGTGTAGTTTTTTGTTAAAAATATGTGTAATTTTTTGTTAAAAATATGTGTAGTTTTTTGTTAAAAATATGTGCAGTTTTTTACAAGTTTGTGCAGTTTTTTACAAGTTTGTGTAGTTTTTTTAACATTCAATTATTCACAAGTACCGTACGAGGTTGAAGATGCAATGGGTATGCAAGAAGTTGAAACGAGATTCAAAATTTGAGATAAAATGATTCGTATTTTTTCAAATTGTGTGTTTAATTGGATTTGTAATATGTAATCGTTAAACTTTGAACATTTACAATTATAGTATGTAATCGTTAAACTTTCAACTTTTACTATTAGTCTATTATGATTTATAATCATTAAACAATATTTGTTACCATTATTTCATATAATTTGTATTCTTGTTTATTTATTTAGTGTTTTGGCAATGTTTTATTTTTTATTTCTAAATAACAAAATTTTAATATTTTAGAAAGCGGTACCCGGAACCGGAAGCGGTTCCAAGAATTCAAGAACCGCTCTAACTGGTTCCGGTTCCTGTCAAATAAGACGAGTACCCACCTATGCTCACCCCTACTTAACATCATCCATAACCAAATACATAGTGGTATAACTTGAGTAGGTGATTGTTGAAACGAAGGCATGCTACAATAAACCATAACGGGTATGTCAAGACGTTAACCACTGTTATAATAGAATGCTTAATAAGATTTCACGTTTATAAGATTAACAATTATGCATGTACGTGTATCAACAAAGACGTAAAAAGTTGGACTCATGCGGGAAAGACGATGTGGAATGACGAAGAATGGAAAATAAAAATAGAGTTCAGTAAGTATTACACAATGGAATTTAACGGAGCTGATAAACGACAAAAGAAACAGTAATGTATTATATTATATATTTATTTAATCATCCAGACATAAAACCGAAAATCAATGACGGAAAAATTCATATCGCAATGGAGTGCCCATTTTTGGGATTCACCAAGAGAACAAGTTGTTTATTAAAAGGACAAAACGAGGGTCCCTTTCGACTATTTGCATACGGCTCTTCTTCATTCGTCCCTGCCTCAAAACCTACATCTCCCCAACTCTTTTATACCAGGTGTTGTGGTGTAACGTCTCAAGTTCTGGCACATACAGATATTTTTATGGTTGAACCGGTCGTTAGAAAATACGTTTCATTAATTCATTCTTATCTTTATGCACACCGCAACAGTCCAAATTTGTACTGTTTTAAAGGAATGAATGCAATTTGTATTTTTCGTAATAGAATTTATGTATTCATTTCTTTGATATATTTATGTCGTAGAACAATCGGGAGTGACCTACAACCTTATTTTGATAAAATTTCAAAAACGTCAATTACAAAAGGCCGTGTTTAAAAATTAACTTTTTATTGATATGAAAAAAACAACAATTTGAAACCTACTCATAACAATTGAAACGTCTGATCTATTTTTCGGTCCAGTTATGCTTTAATTTGAAACTGAACATTTTTCTACAATGTTTTTTTTTTAAATTAATCTGGATATCCAACCCACTATACGAGCCGATTAATACCAGGACGACTACTTGCTTTGTAGATAGTCTGGAGTCACCGCATTTGAACGTCCGCGGCTACAAGGGGATTCTTATTCCTTTTTGGATTTGAACCTGGTACCTTCTGATACTTTTGACCTTTGAAGTCAAACTCAAACCAATCAGGCATCACCCTTGTGGTTTGTATAATGTTTTATTAAAACCAGATGGAAACCATATGATTATATATAAAGAAAATGACAAAAATATATCAAAATTTTACCAAGTTTCCCAATTAGTGTATCGATTAATTCTTATTTCTCAAATAATGTCATAAACATTCAATTTTTACGATTATGTTCCTATTTTATTTGATAAACAAGTTTTCAGTAGTAAATATGACATCGATTAATTTTGATGTGATATTTTCCCACATAACGTAGTGTTTCAATAAATTTTCGGTTAAAAATTATATAGTTAGATAAAAAAGAAATTTATATGATTGTTTATGTAGCATTGGGTTCCAGTGAGAAGAAGAATTAAAGTGATAAAAGTAAGAAGAGATCTCTACTCTTGGATATACGTTAAAATGAGATGTATATGATCAATCCCCATATCAAATATAATTTAATTATAAATAAATTTAAATTTAAAAATATCAAGAATTCAGATGATTTCTTATGGTTCTCACTTTTAACTTTATTTTTTTTCACCTACATGAAACACTAACTTTATCATAAGTCGGCTGTTGTTTCAAAGTCATCAGTTATCACCAGATACATATATCTATCTCTCTCTTCTCTTATCATCACCAACCATTCCATTCTTCACCTTCCATGGTTACCTTTAACCAATGTCTTCATCATTCTTTCGAATATTCCGTCGCCGGACTAACACTTCCGACAGCGCCGACGAACTCGACGTCGACGACAACCCCATTTCCAACTCAACAGAATGTTACGCCTGCACACAAGTAGGCGTTCCTCGTTTCCACTCCACCAGCTGTCCAGACCTCCTTCAACAGCTCCAATGGGAAGCTTCCGCTGGATCTTCTCTCGTCCCCATCCGTGACCGTCCCGGCTCCAAAATCATCCACAATCATTCCACCAACGACGGCCGGAGACGACGGTCTTCGGGGTTCCTCAGCCGTGTGTACGATCCTCGGAGCAAAAGTGTGCAGAGATGGAACAGATTCTTCCTTCTGGCTCGTGGGGTGGCGTTGGCCGTCGATCCTTTGTTCTTCTACGCGCTGTCCATCGGCCGCGGTGGGATCCCGTGTCTGTACATGGACGGTGCACTGGCGGCGGTGGTGGCGGTGATGCGGACGTTGGTGGACGCCGTCCATCTTCTTCACATGTGGTTGCAGTTCCGGGTGGCTTACGTGTCTCGTGAGTCACTTGTGGTTGGATGTGGGAAGCTCGTATGGGACCCACACTCTATCTCATCTCACTATGTTCGTTCACTCAAAGGGTTCTGGTACGACGCATTTGTTATACTCCCGGTCCCACAGGTAATCATATTTAACCAATTATTCCTTCACACAATAATTTACACAACAAAGGCAAACTTCTTAAACTCTAATTACTCTAAAATTAACTTTTCGTCTTTTTTTAGTAATAATTAATTAATAATTGTACGAATCTAAAATTATATATACGTCTGTGTGTATATATATATATATAATACTTATTTAAGATAATAAAAAAATGATCGAATCACATGTGATTTTACAATAATATTACGTATATATTTTATTGATCGTTAATGTAAAATCACATGTTATTTTATATATGATTTAACTATTTTTATATTTCATTGAATAATTAGAATTTACATATAATCATTCTTTTATATATATATACATATATATATATATATATATTGAATATTTATTTAAGAACAAATACACATAAATAATTCATAGTAGTATTTTAAGTAAAAGTTAATGTAACAGTTTCGGAAAAGTCTACGGAATGTCAAATGTGTTACGGAAAGCTGCACTTCTGCACATGGTCTACCCAATCACTTTTTGCCACGTAGTTGATTTATGCTCTGTAAGCTAAAATTAAGTTTTACCAAAACGGACTTGAAGTCAAAAAGGTTGAAAATCATAACTAAATACGATTATATAATTATTAAAATGTGTCAAAATAAATAAGTGGTAAATCTGTTTGACAATAAAATTGTCTTTTAATGATTTTACAAAAATCCTTTGAATGAATTTGTATCTTAAGACTTTCTTAACCATTCAGCATTCTAATTTTATTGTAAATAATTACCAAATAATTATATTCCATTTTGTACTATATCATTAAGCAAACAACAAACAATCCGTAAATGTTAATTGTAGGCTGTGTTTTGGTTGGTGCTGCCACGGTTGATCCGTGAAGAGCGAATAAAGGAGATCATGACGACCCTCTTGCTCATTTTCCTGTTCCAATTCCTACCCAAAGTCTACCACTCGATCTCGCTGATGAGACGGATGGCCAAAGTCACTGGCTACATCTTCGGGACCATTTGGTGGGGTTTCGCACTTAATCTCATCGCCTACTTCATTGCGTCTCATGTCAGTACCATTTGTCTTATTTCGGTTTCATTCTTGTAACAACGAAGGGCTATTTAGTTAAGTGTATTTTCAAGATTCTACGCCAAAGGGTCATTTTGCAAAACGAGCTTGGTCATTTAGCTAAATAGCCGGTCATATTTTGTTGAGTGGAGTTTCGTGTATGCATTTCGCTTGTTTCTAATAGTTATGAGTGCTCGCCGTCATTTGTTTGGACAGGTTGCGGGCGGATGTTGGTATGTTTTGGCGATACAACGAGTGGTTGTGTGCCTAAGGAAAAGATGTAATATGAAAAACTCGTGCAATTTGACTTTGTCATGTGCGGACGAGATTTGCTACCAGTTCTTGTTGCCTGAAGGGACGTTTGGAGATCGTTGTGCTGGAAACTCGACCACGTCCGAGTTTAGAAAGCCTGCGTGTTTAGATGTAAATGGCCCGTTTAACTACGGGATTTACCGATGGGCGCTTCCCGTGATCTCTAGCAACTCGCTCACGGTCAAGATTCTTTATCCGATCTTTTGGGGGCTCATGAGCCTCAGGTAAATCGAAAATCAAGATCTATTGCAGTCCTTTTTTAGGATGTCAATCGAAAGCATATACATAATACGTGATAATTTGATTACAGTACATTCGGGAACGATCTCGAGCCCACGAGTCACTGGGTCGAAGTGATGTTTAGCATTTGTGTCGTGCTAAGCGGATTGATGCTCTTCACGTTATTGATCGGTAATATTCAGGTAAAATCCCGATGATTTTGTTCATTACCAATTTGTTTCGGTGAGTGTATTCTCCACTGACCGAGACATTGTGAAACACAATGTTGTGGACGATCCGTTGCAGATCGCCGGTGGATATGTCTGTCGCTAATTATTAGTCACCGCAAGTTCAATGTCTAGTAGTGGTTAGGCTTAAAAGAGCGTAAAACGACTAACTTTTGTGACTACGATTGATGACTCTTTTCTTTGTAATCGAAGGTGTTCTTGCATGCCGTTATGGCTAAAAAGAGGAAAATGCAACTACGATGCCGCGATATGGAGTGGTGGATGAAGAGAAGACAGTTACCATCGCTTCTCAGACAAAGAGTCCGTACCTATGAACGCCAAAATTGGGCATTGATGGGAGGCGAAGACGAGATGGAAATGATCAAAGACTTACCCGAAGGCCTCAGACGCGATATCAAGCGTTTTCTTTGCCTAGAACTCATTCGAATGGTATGATTATATGTTTTCAACATAATCCAAGACTTTTCCGACACCAATTTGATGTCGTTTATCTCTATTTTACGTCCCTCAGGTACCGTTGTTCCACAATTTAGATGATTTGATTCTCGACAACATCTGCGATCGCGTCAAACCGCTCGTTTTCTCCAAGGATGAAAAGGTATCAAACTTGCTATGCATGGTGGTTTTATTCTAAGACAACACAAAACCGTTATTTATATTTTGAGATGCACAACGGCCAGGCTTTTTCGGGCATGGTACCGGGCCTTCAAGCGTCTTTTCATTAGTCGGGAATCTTTATGGCAATAATTGTTCTGTTCTGTCAAATCGAGGCTAGGTCTACATTTATACGTTACCACCAAGCCCCACCTCTGGGTGGAATATGTTAGTATCGTTTGATTTGGTTTGGTTTGGTTTGGTTTTATGAAACTTCCATTGTATGGGAGTCATAAAGTTTAGTTTTCCACTTAAATTTTGTGTCGATTTTCCTAATTCGAGTTTTTTGAACCGTAGATCATACGAGAAGGCGATCCGATTCAAAGAATGGTGTTTATAGTTCAAGGTCGCGTAAAAAGTACCCAGAACCTAAGTAAAGGAGTAATCGCTACGAGTATACTGGATCCCGGTGGCTATTTAGGCGATGAGCTTCTATCGTGGTGCCTTCGAAGGCCGTTTATAAACCGGCTTCCGGCATCTTCTGCCACATTTACGTGCGTGGAGTCGACGGAAGCGTTCGGGCTCGACGCCAATCATCTTCGTTACGTGACGGATCATTTTCGATACAAATTCGCAAACGAGCGATTGAAGCGGACGGTGAGATATTACTCGTCGAATTGGCGGACTTGGGCGGCGGTGAACATACAGTTGGGGTGGAGGCGGTACGTGGCGAGGATGAGGCGGCCGGTGAGTGATCGTGTGAGGGAGGAGGATGGTGGCAGCAACCGTATGCTCCGGCAGTATGCTGCCATTTTCATGTCAATTAGACCACATGATCATCTTGAATAGAATCCAATTATCATTAATTCTTGTGAATTTGTTGATGCTGAACTTCATTTTATTCTAATAAAATAATAATAATAATAATAATATAAAAAAGGTGGAGGAAGTGTTGCAGTTTTCCTCCATTTTCATCTTGCGTTGGATATTTGGGAGAAGTTGATGATACGTCATACTTAATTGGAAGCAAAAAAACAATTAATAATAATAATAATAATCTATATTATATTGTAAAATATTTAATAAAAATTCTTAAAAACTATTCATTTTTTTTATGTATGAAATATTGTTTATTATGCATATTACCTAAAAATCAAGATTACAAGTAATTTTTACGTAAGTACAACTTATTAAAGCTTTCTTTTTTTTCAATTCGTGTAACTAACTGCAGATAAATATAATCAAATACATGATAAACATTTCAATTTGAATATAAAAAATCTAAAATAGAATTAGGATAACCATTAAATTCTAATAGAATATTCAATTATTATCTTTATAAAAAATTATATTATTAAACAAAAAATAAATTACTTTGTTATTAAACCTAAATAAAGTATAATAAAAATTGAATTAAGGAAGTTACACAAAAACGAGAACTTTTAAATAGTTAATTTGATATTAATATCAGTATATTTTTCAAAATTTAATGATGTCTTCAAATTTATATTTTGTTCAAAAATAATAACATTATCGTTTTCTCAAACTCACGTAAAAACGTATTATATCGACAAAAACAGAATAAAATGAAACATTAAAATCAGATGTATTTCGCTACATTGCGCGAGTACCCTTTTAGTAATAATAATACCAATAATCGAGTGAGAATAAGAGTTAAAGTAAAAATGAATCTGGATCATTGATCATTTTTAATCTTAACTCATCCACTCTCATGGGAATTGATCTGGTTCATCTCATTATGGTTGATCTTCAATTAGAATTGATCCAAGGACGGAGATCTGTTCGTATCCTTCTCACAATAACTTTCATTCTCATCAAAACCCACTTCATAATAATTAGTTATAATAATAACTCTTTTAACGATTGCCGTAGGGGACCTAAGATTTTTTCCGAGTAGGTGTAACCTTTAAAGTAAATCAGATGTCCGTAAAGTCGTTTTGTGTGTTATTAGCCAAATTCCACCTTTTCGAGTATTTTTTTTAGTTTTTCAGGTGATTTCAATGAATTTTTTGGCTTTTTTGTTGAATTCGAGAGACTTTTTTGGTTTTTATGTTAATTTAAAGGAAATTTTTTGGCTTTTTTGATTAATGTTCCTTATATTTTCTAATATCCCGGAGCACCTCAAAAGTTTTAGCCGGTTCACCTTTTATAAAAAAAATTACTTGCGAAATTCAATTTAACGAGTGCTCGGAACCCTGCTTGGGCATGACTAGACCTGGCCCAACCATTTGGTTTGTCAAATTTGGATTTGAGTTTCATTTTAATATCACGTTTGGTCTAAAATAAAGTTTGAAATTGAAATCTCAGGATCTTAATGAAATCCCACAAGCATTAGATTATAATTCCCATGGGGTGGTTTGTATTTCACTGGATTTGTTTGTAATAATGTTTTAAAATATGTTAAAAACATTCGTTTTGTAATAATCAATTAATAAAAAGTAAGTTAATTATTTTTATAAAATATTTACAAAAAAAGGAATTCAATTTCATTCCAAATCCTACAAACCAAACACACAAAAGATTATAATTCCTTCCAATTCCAAATCATTCCACAAAATTCAAATCTCTAGAAAACATTCTAAAGACCCGTTTGGTTTGCATGATTTGGGAGGATTTAGAAAGATTTGAAATTGAATTTCATTCCAATCATGCATTTGGTTTGAAAAAGTGTTTCGATTTGAAATCTTACGGCCAACAGATTTAGAAAACATCTGGAGATGGATGTCATTTCAAAACCAAATACAATAGATTTCAACGATTTCAATTGCATCTCTACTTCGCCTCTTTCATCAAGTCTACTCAAATCTCTCTATCAACCTCCACATATCGTATTCTCCATTTTCTTGAAGCAAAGCATATTAGGGGCGATCATGATGTTTATATTTCATTCCAAATCATATAAACCAATCAAGATTTACAAAAGAATGAAATTCAATTACATCCCAAATCATTTAAAATTCCAAAATCTTATAATTCCGAACCTTCTACAAAATCCAAATCTCCCAAAAATATATCATTAAACTAGGGTCGTTCCTGGGGGAGGATGGGTCACAGGACCCACATGAAATAGGGGCCCACAATTTTTTACTATATAGTAATAGTTCAAAAAATTAGTAAATAAAATAGACAAATTATGGGAGGATTTGGAATTATTAAATTGTCTTTTTTATTTATTATTATTTTTTCTTTTTGGTACACAGGACTTCTTGTATTATGGGAGAATTTGAAATTATAAAAGTGTCTATTTTATTTACTAAAGAAGAAAATATATACAAAATTAAGTGAGCGTATGTTTTGTAGTATTCCTTAGCGTTTTTCTCTATTTTATTCCTTTGGGACTTTTAGTTGTAGAGAATCATATGACCACTTTGGTAATATGGCTTCTAAAGAAGCTTTGGTTGATAAGGGCTTTAGACCTGAAAGTTTAAATTCCCATTCATACAAGAAGCCATCACCAAGCTTGGATGGAATATATTATGTGTTGTATCTACTGGATTCAACTTCTCCCTTGTAAGGGAATTCTATGTAGAGGTTACCACATCCAAGGGCCTTACAGTAAGGGTAGGGGCACTGATGTATGTTATGTTTCTGCCATCATTGACAATATTATTGGTATCATTCCACTCACTCCTTGTGAGTACAATCAGTTGGTGACCAATGCCACAGATAAGGATGCCAGGAAGGTGCTTTTGACACTTGCAAAACCTGGAAAAACATGGAAGAATAAGGTTTTTGGAACCTTAAACAATAAGGACCTTCTTCCTATTGTAAGCATTTGGTTATATTTCCTTAGATATAATCTCCAGCCAAACATCCATGACACTACCTTGACATTTGAAAGAATGGTGATCCTTTACTTCATCATGATTGGAAAAAGGTTCAATATGGGGGAGATCATCTGTAAAAGTATCAAGTCTTGTGTAGAGAAGAGCAAGGGAGATCTTTGGCACCCATCCTTAATACATGCATTGCTAACAAGGGCAAAGGTAAGATTTTGCTTACTGATGAGTTTATGACAGGAAAGGTTGTTATTAAGGTACAAACAATCAAAAGGATGAAGAAGAATGCAGAAAAGGCAATGAAGAAGACTGTCATTGTAGCAACATAGATTATGACTACTGCAGCAACCACCCATGTTGCTACTGCTGGCACTTCCACCAAAACAAGGAAGTTCCCAAGATCAGAACCTTCACTAGCACCACAACCCAACCTTGTCACTAATTCATTCATGTATTTGATAAAGGAAATAGAGAAGAACCAAGAGGCCCTCTTGAGGAGATTGGAGGAGAGAGATGCCATTTGGATGGCAATGATGAAAAAGCAGAAAAAGGAGCTTGAAGCCAAAGTCGAGAAAAGTTAACAGAAGTTGCTGGCCTGTTTGAAAGAACAAGATATGGCTTTGCTGCAAATGAGAAAACTCACAGCTCTATAAAGGCACTACCAGATGAAGAGAGATGGAATCATGGAGGCTGAATGAGCCATGGAACATCCAGAAGAGTATGCCAATATTGGGCCATACCTAACAGAGCTTATCAAAGAAGCAGAGGAGCTTATTTCTCAAGATGCAGCATCACCTACTCCCAATGAGTAGGACAGGTCCATTTCTTTCACCCTTAGCTCCATAGTATTTTATTTTCTTATTTTTTAGTTTTATATACATTGAGTCTAGAAGCTTTGCGTTTTATTTTAGAAGTTTATGAGATTGTTGCTTGTTAACAAACCATATCCCAATTAATTTTGTTGTTAAAAGTCCATTTCAACATTTAAGGCTAGAACCAAGCACACCCACCTGGGAAGCAAACAGACATCCCACCTTGCTATTTTAGAATATGACTTAGGACATTCTTTCTTATACATTAGCCTATACACTATCACTTTGAACCCATGACCCTATCCTTTCAAGAATCCTCGATGAGGATATTGACATATTCAAGTGTAAGGGAGGGAGTGTATGTACTATATGTACTAGTATGCAGCAAAAGTCCATAGGACAATAGCTAAAAGCTCTTTTTTTTGCATAGAGTACAAAATGTTCTAGTCAAAGAAGAAAAGATTAAATATGCATAGCATATACACTGTTTATGCATTACAAAAATGCTTGAATAATTGAAGAAAGAATGCACCGAGCCTGAAAAGAAGAAAACCAATAAAATCCCTAATGATTCTAATTTTTAGTAATTGGTAAATGTCTAACAAAAGGAACTATGACTCTTGGCCTATGGAAATAAGTGGAAGGATTGGATTGCACATAGAATTATGCTAGGCTATGGTGTTGTTTTGTTATCAATCTCATTAGTGTTGAATTTTCATTTTCACTCTTCAAATTTTCTTTCAAATTTTTGGTATTAAGTCATTTTAAGTTGTCATTTTAGTTGCTTGGGGACAAACAACATTTTAAGTGTGGGTGTGTGATAAGTGTGCAAAAGCATACACTTTAGCACCTAATTATGACTTTATTTAACTTCATTTTACACATTTCCAAATCATTTATTGAGTCTTATTTCATAGTTTTACATTCAATGGAGCTAGGATGCAGGAATGATACTGTTTTATGTATTTGGTGAATGAAATGCTGACATATGCATTGTAGCAGGTGTGTACATTGCTGCAACACTGGATATTGGCACAGTTGGCTCAATCTCGTTAGATATTTTGAAAAGTCAAATTTTGGCGGAGGGTATCTTCTAGTACTGCTAGCAGATGATTTTGATAGAAGATGTCATGAAAGATACCTTACCTTTTGTACTTAAGCATCTTTGTATTAAAAGCATCTTTTGTATTATCCATTGGTTAATAACCAATGGTTATTAACCTTTTGTACTTTTGTTCCCCTTTGCTAGTATATATATGAGGAGTAATCTTTTGTTTAGTAAGTAACTAGTGGAACAATAGAGCTTTACAAGATCATCAAGAACAAAGCTTCAT